ATCAACAACGTCAGCGAGTAGCGAGCCATCTGGCGGAATACGACGCCGACAGAACAATTTACCACCGGAACTCCGATTAATCGACCTGAGCTCGCAAGCCGAAGTCGATAAAGATGGCCTTAGTGTAAGCAGATATGAGAGGCTGTCATCGGGCGACTACCATCTCGGCGTTCTCCCTGCACAGAACGCAGCCTCGGCGGTGGCTTCATCCAAGGGAGCCCTGGAAGCAATCACTGGATTTGGCTCAGATATGTGGAATGCCGCCATCAATCCTAGGACACTATTTAGCTCTGGTGCAAGTATCAGGAGTGGACACAGCGGAGACGGTGTCTCTAGCACGCAGCTCCCGAGCTCAGTTAGTGGCGCCCGGAGATCAGGAACTCCTACAGTCCATCCCAACCTCATCAAGCCAGGAGTAAAGATCTTCATCCACAGCCCATTCGATTTCATTCTCGGAACGAAGAGAGACCTTGGCGACCACTTGGGCTGGCTGCTGGAGCACCAAGACTATCAGAAAGCATGGGAATTGCTTGACGAGCACCCCGAGATCATGGCTGCACCTCCAGAGAACCTTCATGAGCTCGTTCCAACAACGCCAGACAGAAAGCAAAGCAGCCAAGAGGACTTTGACGATGCCTCATCCGTCATGGGGTCTACGGGGCTAGCAAGACAGCCTAATTCCTCGGCGCAGAGGGAGAAGAGACGCATCGGCGAGCTTTGGATTCGGGAGCTGATTGAGGCAGGTAGCTGGGCTGAAGCCGGTAAAGTGTGTAGCAGAGTCCTTGGCTCTCCCGACAGATGGGAAAAATGGGTCTGGACATTTGCTGGCGCCGACAAGTTCGACGAGATCACGGACTACATTCCTTCTGAGCCGATGTACCCGCCGATCCCAGGCACAATCTACGAAGTCGTCTTGAATCACTACATTCAGGCAGACAAGCTGAGATTCAGAGAACTGCTAGACCGCTGGCCGACGGATCTCTTTGACATCAAGACCGTCACCACAGCCTTGGATAACCAGCTCAAGTACCGCGATGTACGAGAGGACAGCGTCGAGGGGGGTGAGAAGGGTCGCGACTGGAAGATTGTGATGGAGTCATTGGCACGCTTACACGAGGCAAATGGACGCTTCAGGGAATCGCTCAAATGCCACATCAAGCTACAAGATGCGGACTCTGCGTTCCGCTTGATCCGCGACAACCATCTCGCCGAAGCAGTGACTGACGACATTCCCGGCTTCATCGGATTGCGAGTGCCGAACAAAAAGCTCGGAACCATGGGGCCAGACGAGCTTGAAGCCGCTACCTCGGAGGCCATCACTCTCCTCGTTGACGAAGCACAGCATGGTCTTGTCAAGCCTTCTGTGGTTGTATCGCAGCTCGAGGAGAAGGAACTCAACCTATATCTCTTCTTCTACCTGCGCGGTTTGTACAAGGGCGAGGGAATAGAGGAGCATTCCGGGGAGACTCGCGACAGGCTGCTGATGGACAGCCAATCCCAAGTTAACGAATTTGCGGACATGGCTGTTCAACTGTTCGCCAAGTACGATCGGGACCTTTTGATGAGCTTTTTAAAGTCCTCGACCTCCTACAAATTCGAGAAGGTGAGTAGAATCTATATCTACAATATTTATGGCGATGCTCTGGCATTCCTGAGACCTAGTTTGCAAACTAACGACCGCAGGCTGTCCAAGAGTGTGAAAAGTACAGGTACGACGACGAGTTGGTACATTTGTACTCCAAAACAGGCGAGATGAAACGAGCGCTCTATCTCATCATTGATCGACTGAAGGATGTCAAGAAGGCAATCGATTTTGCGAAGCAACAAGACGACCCTGATCTCTGGGATGATTTGTTGAACTACAGCATGGACAAGCCAAGCTTCATCCGCGGCCTTCTCGAAGAAGTCGGAACGGCCATCAATCCCATCAAGCTCGTGAGGCGCATTCCTGAAGGACTCGAAATCGAAGGCTTGCGAGAGGGCTTAAAACACATCATGAAGGAACACGAGATTCAATACAGTATCAGCTCGGGTGTTGCGCGGGTACTCCGAAGTGAGGTCGCCGCCGCACAAAATGACCTGCGAAGTGGGCAGCGGAAGGGAATCAAGTTTGAAGTCGTCGTTCAATCAACGGATCATGTCGACGTCAAGGTCAGAGACGTCGTGCATCCGCCGGTCAGTGCGGAGGAAGTGGAAGAGAGCTTCTTCAAAGCACCAAAGGCGGTGGAACAGCCCGGCCACACGCATCAGCCGCCGAAGCCTGGCCACTGCGCTCAGTGCCACGAGTCCTTCACAGAGTACGAGATGGAAACCTTGGTTGGATTTGCTTGCGGGCACGTCTTCCATCAGTCACATCTCATGGAAATGCTTTACCCCGGCAAGAGACAAGAGGCCGACTTTGGGCTGGCTAGCGAGGAGTCGATCCGAAGCGGGTATCGCGTTGGCTCAAAGGTTACGCATGCGCGCTTGCTCAAGGACCGAGTGCGGGAGGGTTGTCCTGTCTGTACCCACGGGACGGAAGTACCAGTATAAGGGAGGTTTCGATATCCAGTGACGAAATGCATACGGCGGCACAGCCATCTTTTGATTTTCGGCCTTGCTCATTCTGTACTATATACTATTCGCGTGATTCGCCCACGTGCATTTTATAATTTAATGCCCATCCTGTCCTCTATTGTGCTCATCCTCAATTCCACGTAGCATTAAATCCGGTCTCGCGCTTCTTCTACTAGCTTATCAATTGTCGGGAATTCTAATGGATGGTAGATCGTGAAGATAATCTGGATGCGAATAGCAACAAGAATGTTCACATGGTTGGTCACTACGTTGCGTCGATTGGCGCACTCCAAGAAGCACGGGCCGGGCGGCAGGTCACCTCACTCTCCCCCAAACCCCCCCACACGGTACCAGGTACCCCACGCCCACGTTTCCCCCTGGGTGGTGCGAACGACATGTCACTCCTTCAACCTCGGCCTGGAGGTATGTCGCCGTCCACCTCTCCACATCCTTTCCCCAACTCATGCATTCCGCGACGTATGCAAAGGGGAAACGATATGGCGTTTTGGGATACCTACCGGAGCCGGGCTCAAGGGAGGCTGAGCTGTGAGTGTTCACCCTGTACCGTCTTTTGCTACGCTTGACCCCCCCCCCCCGGGACAATGCCAATTGGGAGTTATGCTGATCTAGTTGTCATGCCGCAGATGGGAGCTGAACCGAACGCAATCTCCTTTCCTGCGCCTCCCGCCAGAGATACGCAACAAGATCTACCGTCTCCTCCTATCCAACATGGGCATCCACGTCCTCCACGACCCTAAAACGGGATCCTTCCACTGCCTCACGCTCCGACCCGGCGCGAACCCCTGGACCTCCGTCCCCGCGACTACTTCATCCCCCACGAGGCAGATAGTGGAACCAGAAAGAGGAGATACCACCACCAAGACCAGCACCAAGAAGAAGAGGTCTTCACGACAGCAGGCCGCAGTCCTGGGACGGGGGCTGACACTGCTGGTGCTGGTCTGTAGACAGCTCTACCACGAGACGGAGCTGATTCCATACCGCGAGAACGCGTGGAGTTGGGCTACGCCGGGGTTGATGGAGCGGTATCTGCTTACGGAGCGGCGGATGGGGTTCGCGCAGAGGAGGGTGCTGAGAGAGGTTTGCGTTCGAGGGATTGCGGGGTTTGGGAATTGTAGTCGGAGGGTTAGGGGGGTTTTGGGCGGGTTGGAGGTTGTTTGGTTTTGGGAGGGGGCTGGGAACGCGGGACAGGGGAAGGGTGGGCTTGGGGGGTGGGTTTGTGAGGTTGTTGAGAGGGGGAGGGTTGAGGTTGGTGTTGGGAAGCCTAATTGAGGGATCTTAAGGGATCTTGAGGGTGACCATTGAGGTTTGTGGTAGGCAGAGGGTCTGGCTATAGAGGAGGGCAATGTACTCTATGGCATCTACGAGACATGAGGCTATGAGGCTGATGATACTGGGCGTGTGGGAAGACATGTGATGATATAGTCTGTAGAATATGGCGGTACTCCTATCGAAACAAGATATTACTTGGCTACTGGGACAGCATTCAACCATCTTCACGCCTCCTGAACCCGTCGACGAGCAACGATAATTGCCGTCTACAATTACCACGAGGCCTGACTTTGTCCATCTTGACACTCGCTAGCTAAAGTACATACAGAAGAGAGTAAATCTCAGCCTCGCAGTGGAGTCGGACGCAACTAGAACAAACAAGAACCTTCCGGGCCAAGTGGCCACTTTCGGAGCCGAGGGCCGGTGGTGCACCGAAGTTTTCGGGGCTCTCGGCCCCATGGACCCACATCGGGCCTACCACAGTTGAACAACACACCAAAGTCAGCACAGCACAAGGGAACCCATCGCCGCAGAAACGACAGAGTTTTCACATGGAGGGAAAGTGGAAGGAGCCAGATTCTGGTGGGTGGTTCTAGCTTGTTTTGGGGGCTTGAATGAAGGACGGAAGAGGGGCTTCTTTGGTGTGTTTGGCGCCCTTTGAGGGGATTTTTGGTGGTGTTGTGATGCCGCGATGGGAGATGAGGATAGGTACGAAAAGCAGGAGCCTGTAGATCTTGATCCATTTGATCTATAGACTGTCTAATGGTGACGACATTGATTGCGATTCTAGCCGCCGTGGTCTTGCCAGCGCGGGGGCGCTATTCCAGTGTTTGGTTCTATGTGATGGGGATAGCAGCAGCTTCAATGGTCGTCAACAAAAGGGCTTCTTTGGTGGTTTTCCGAGCCTCAGCACTGCTTATGGAATGCCGCAATGGCTTCGTAATAGTATAGAGGGTGCTGTAGTTCGGCGATGCTGATCTATGGATGAGCAGATAGATGGATTGCTCCGTTCGCAGAATTGATGCTCTGGAATCGTGATAATCTGGTCTGCGAGTCTAGTCTCAGTGTCGCGATGGCTCCGGTGTTTTTCGATTACGCTAACGTCTTGCGATATTCATCAATGGACGTCGTGATCTATAAAGCAGAATGCTTTGTCAGTAGGATTGAGGCTTTGGAATGGTGATATCCTTGCTTCTGAGTCCAACCTTCATGCCGCGAACCTCGTTACGAAGCGCGTCGTCTCTGTCGGCCTCAAAACACCATAACGAGAGTCTCTTGGGCGGTACACCATACGGACTGCTGGAGCGAACTACAGTCGTCTTGCGCGAACACTGCTGAATGACGGTGATGTCGCTTACGAATATTATGTGCAATTCCAGTAGCGCGGCACATCGTGGCGGCGGTGTGACAGCTTCACCTCTCATTTTGTGGGAAACACCAAAATAAGGCTCAAAATGGCATCGCGAACGGTCCTGGCCGGCGACAATAGTATCACACATCATGGGATTAAACACCTCACTAGCAAGGCAAAGTCACATTAAAGAATGCAGTCAAACAATGAGGAATCAAGAGAGAATTTTGTGACGAGGTAGTCTCAATTTTCTGTAATGAGGCCTTTGACACAAATGCTACTTGTATGCATTCGGACCCTGTATGCCTATGAAGAACCTGAAACCCGTGATCCTTGATGAAGTTCCAATTCCTTAGCTCAATGGCTCAAACCAATTCCCTAGTCCATCCATTTCCTTCAGGCCATTCCAAGTGAGGAACTGCCAACGAGTGCATAGCTAGACTTGACTTCCTTAGAGGAAGTACATGATGATTGCACCAGCGATGGCGCAGAAGACCATGATCTCGGTCTGAGAGGCCTCAGACGAGGCAGTGGGAGTGACGACAGTCTGGGTGCCAGTGCCAGTCATGCTGACAGTGCTGGAAGTTCCCTTGATCTCGGAGGAGGTGCTGGTCTTCTGAGCAGAAGAGCTCGAAGCAGACTCCAAGATGGAGGTGGTGGTGCCAGCGGTCTCAGTGGGCTCAGAGACGCTGAGAGTGTGGGTGACCTCAATCGGGTCACAGACCTGGATGGTGGTCATCGAGCACATGGACGAAGTAACCACTGGAAAACCCAACGTGTTAGAACATTGTGATCCCAAAGAATAAATGGAATTCAGACTTACCAGTGAACAGGTTCGACTCGATGACGGTAGCGTGACCCAGACCGGGATCCTCAATGAAGGTGGTGAGCTCGTACGAGCCAGTCTCTGAATGTGTGTGAGCCTTGATACTGCGCTGCGCGAATGCTCGAGAAAGGGAAACTTACCAGAGGCGCCATCATGCTGAACCATGGCGGTCATCGTAGGGCCAGTGCCCAGGTAGAAGGTGTAACCCTTGGCGATGGAAGAGGCGCGCATCTTGACGGTTGATTGGGTGGAGGGAGTATGTGGTATGGATAGTGTGTATGGGATACAAGGTGCAAAAGTGCGGTTGCTTGTGGGCAAAAGTGTGTGACGGATCTGCGAAGTTGAAGAGTGGGTGAGAGGGAGGGGAAGTTTAGGAGAGGGAGGGGAGAGAGAAGATCTTTTTGTAGAGGGCAGCAGGAGGGCAAAGGCGACGGGATCACTCAGGGCTGGGTGGGTGGTTGAACCACCCTTTTCGATACCTTAGGCCGTGTCAACAACGAGGCTGTTGAGGAGGAAGTTCGTGATAGTTGGAGGTACGTACGTACCTCTGGATCAACTGGTGATTGGCCGATTGGGGTGGTTTTGCGGGTTGAACATCTGATTTTGAAGGCGAGAGCTATGAACGGGGATTAAAAAGAGAAAAAGGTGCTCCGGAATTTTCTCATTGGTCGATCTAATGACTTAAATCACAGATTTATTATGAAAAGAGCGGGTTTGAGTGAGACTGGAGGCGGGTAGATCACAGATGAGGCGAGAGCTGGGGGATACAGAAGTTCATAAACAAGGCGAGAGCCAGGGCACGCAGAATTTCACCAAAGAAGCGAGAGCCAGCGGGTGGAAATCTAAAAAGGCGAGAGCAGACGCGGCCCAGAACACATACCCATGAACTTGGTGATAAGAGTGAGATACTATTTGGAGAGGAGGGTACAATGATATGGCAAGATAGTTTACAAATAAGGCGAGAGCCAGTTGATCACAGGTCATCTCAAAGGACGAGAGCAGACGATCTGAGCCACATGCCTTTGAAGTTGGTGATCTGCATATGTTGCTTAATAGATTGGCGAAGTTGATCACAGAAAAAGCGAGAGCAGACGAGTGAGAGCCAGACTTCTTGGTTATGAAGATGTTGATGAAGATACTCAAGAAGAGGGAATAATGGCTCACGAACAAAGATGCGGCTGGCTGTTTGAGTTCAGATTCAGAGGGTGAGAAAGCATAAGGTGTGAACTGCATGGACATCAAAATTAGCGTGTAGATGGCGTACTTGAATGAGGCAAGATATGTGACAGGCAAATCACATATTAAGCCAGAGAAAGGAGGCCAGAGGGAAATTCTTCACAAAGAGCGAGAGCAGGCAAGTTGAGCTCCATGGTAAGAGATTTGCCCATAAGGATAGGTTGCTTGGGTGGTTTATGAAGCGGGAATAACAGCTGACAATGAGGCGAGAGCAAAGGACTTTGGGAGGTAAAGGCTTCCTTAAAATGAGACTGGGTAGACTCGCGCTCGTATTTTTAGTATGGGCACAGCAGCTCACAGAACAGGCGGGAACTCAGGAGAGCAGAGATAGACTTGAATTGGCGAGAGCAGATCACACTTGTCCAAATTCTCATGAGGGGTTCATTTGCTTCGGTTGATTGGGCAAGGCAGATCATGAAAAGGGCTGGAGCTGGAACTCGGGTGATGTAGAAATGATATATGAAAGCAGAAGAAAATGATGAGAGCAGGCGGAAAGAGCGGGAGCAGACAATTATGGGATAGATGAACTACTTCTCTTTGTGAAAAAAGAAAAAAAGGAGAGAGCAGAAAATAGCAGTGGCTGGTCTTGGTGTGAGAGCATTCGGTGATGGACTATCTAGATTGCTGATCTGAGTTCATTTCAATGGAGGCAAAAGGTGAAGAAAAGGATGGGCATTTCAGGCTGCCTGGGCCTGTCTTTTAGCTGTCATCCACTAGGGATGGAAGCGCTCGTCTGATGACTATTTTCTTCTATTGACTGACGTGGTGTTTGGACAAATTTCAGATAGAGGCTTGTTTGGACGAAATTGCTTCATTGGATGCTCATTCGAATATTATTTACATGAGAAAGAGCCATGAAATGAGACGAAATAGAGAAAATAAGGCTGATGACAGTTAAGCAAATATATAGTGTTCAAAGGTGTTTGGGTGCAGAAATGTGATGGAGAAAAACAAGACTGGGGTGAAGTCTGTTCAGACATAAGGCAAGTATAGTAAACCGAATCATAAAGACAGCCTAATGGCAATGTGCAATGCTTTCAAGAGACCGTTGTCCAGCTACTCGCTGGGCGGGGACTGAAATCAATAAACAAGTCAAAAAGCTGACCTTTAGTGCCGACAACTCGACTTCAGTGCAGGAAAGTCCAGAAGAGCACAGGAACATCTGGAAAGACATGGGATTATTTTGCAGTCCTTGTAGGCTTGGCCAGGCGATATTGTTGTAATAGATCGATGATAGGGGGCATCTCTGTTTTTCAATCAAGCCAACTCCGCGCTTGATCGTTTGTTTTACTACCACTATGGAGTGGGATGCCGGATTGACAACTTACAAGTAGAGAACATTTGATGGCATTATCCCGGCGGCTATAACATGAATATTTGGAACTTTGTCAGATTTGAATGAACGAGGTGGCAATATGTGAGAAAGTGAAAGTAGCCCTTCGCAGAGCGGCGTGTGGTTTCGGTACCACTGTGGTCGGCAAGCTGGTCAACAAGGCTGAAGATGTGAGGCTGAGGATTGACTGCGTCTCGTCAGAGCCCCTAGCTACAAGTAAAAACATGCACAGTCGTTAAAATATGTCCTGATATTGTCACTGTTCTTTTCTGTCTTGACAGAAAGGCTAAGCAGAATGGCAAATGGATAGACAGAACTTTTGAATCAATTAAACATCAGATTTAGATGTGCGTAGATAAACACCACACTCTTCTACGAGTGAAGCATAGATTCGTTGGGAGTCACACTTTTAAGCCTGACGGAGTATGAACATGAGACGAAATAATTATGCTTCCCCAAATTTCCCGCAAAGATATTTGACAATTCGTCGTCGAGTGAGGGCTCTCTAGATTGATTGCGTCCTTCGCTATGACGCTCAGCATCACGCGCCGACCCTAAATGACCCCTATATGAGCAATTTCAAGAGCATGAGGAAAGCAGGACGGCCGTACGCCTACGACGACGTTCTCGGAGACGAGGAAAGCGAAGGCAGTGCGTGAGATCTACTGAGGCGTTCAGCGAACTTGGATGAGAGACTGATGGAGGGAATATAGGCTGATGCTAGATGAAGTTGGAACGTCTCTCTTGGTGGATTGCAATCTCGCAATGAGATTATTGTAAGTGGAAAATGAAGATGGTTTCTTAAAGGTGAAGGACGAAGGTAACACTAGTAGTTTGGGACATATCAGTACTTCGACAGTAAGAATAAGTTAATCCCATTGGCGATGTAGATATTCGTAAACCAAAAGTCGTGCGACGAATGAAGAAACACAAGGTATCGCAGTGAAGTCACTCAGAATGCAGATGAAGAAAGCCTGAAAGTAAAGATATAATTGAGGAAGGGGTATCATTCATCATTAAATCATCATCTACCACTAAGTCCTCAAACCATCAAACCACACATTACACTCTTTCCTACCCTCACCCCAAGATCCCAGCAACAACAGCCATAACACCAACATAAACTCCAGAAGCCAATACCCCCTCCGTAGCAGCTACCTTCGCAGGACGATCCGCCCCAAGACTACTAAACAACCCCGCCTGCACCACACCAGCAGCAACGCCAACAGCAACAAGCAACACAACAGCCATACGCCCCACGAACCCCGGAATCACTGCAAACGCGAGAATCGGCAGCAAGAACGCTGCGGCAAAAGCGATGGCGAGGGTGGGCAGGTACCCCGTCAGAGCTGAGATGAGCAGGCGACGGATACGCTCCGCCCTATCTGCGCTTTGACTTTCTGGAGTCAGCAGGGAGGAAAGGGAGGGCAGTTTTGCGTTGCGCGGTTGAGGGGTGCGGAGGTCGTCGCTCGAGAAGCTGGAGCTTGAGGCGGATGATGATGAAGAGGGTGGGCGGGCGAGGGAGACGAGGTCGTCTGCGGGATCGAGGAAGCGTGTTTCGATTTCGACTATGGGATTGTGGTTTGCGAGGTAGGCGCGGTAGAAGTCTACGTCTTGGGGGTCTGGGTTGGGTAGGTGCTGTGTCTCTTTGAAGGATGAGAGGACGTGGTCTATGGCCGTGTTAGAGGGAGGGAAAATTGTGGGATTAACATGAGGGGTGACTTACTGTATTGACTGAGTTTATAGCCAACTTTGCCTAGAATATCCGTCTTGTGCCACTGTAGCTCGCCCGCGGTGAGGGAGTCCTGCCTCCTCGATGCTGGCAGGAAGCAGTTCTGCATCCGCCGCGTCTGCGTGTCGGCCGTGTCGAGGCGGTGGAGCTGCTCCTCCAGCTCGGCAAGCTCGTCCTGCAGGTGAAGCAGCAGGCGGTGGTTGAGAGCCTCGAAGCGCCGGTAGATAGGCTTGATGCTTGACCTCTCCGTGTCGTCGCCGGCGCATAGCTTGGAAGCGATCAGCTCGTACCCCGTGAGCGGGAGCTTCTCTGCCCTGGGTAGGTGCTTTGGGTGGCCGTGATGCGTGCCGGGGAGACGGGGCTGGAGAGCGTTGGGTGGAAGGTGAGGCAGATTTGCGGTCCCGCGCGGCATCTCGGGGGTGCCGTAGTGGCGGTAGTCGCGCTGCCGTTGGCCGTGTCCGTGACCGGGGGGCATGGGGACCTCGAACTTGCCGGGCATGGAGGGAGAGTCTCCGTAGATGCTGTGATCTGGGCTGCTGCTCCTGTCGGTCTCTTGGTCGCCGGCGCCCATCTCGGAGAAGACATCGCTCTGGAAGCTGCTTGAGGCAGTCGAGGTTGTGCTCCGCGTCGAGGGCGACTGGTAGCTTGCGGCGGCGGGGTCGGGCATCCTCCAGTAGGACGACTGCTCGACGGAGCGCTGGATGGCTTCAGGGGTTATGTTGGGTGAGTCTGGTTCGAGGTAGCTCAAGACGTTTGATGAGGAGAGCTGCTGTTGGGTCTTTGGTGAGCGGCTTTGGCGACGAGTTTTGAGGTATGACTTGTCGTGGGCTCGCGACTTTTCACTTCCTCTGCGCCTGGGCCACGATGCTTGAGTGATGGTTGAGCCGCTGCCACTGGAGCTGCCGGAGCCGTGAGTTCTCTCAGTGAGAGCTGTGAAGCTGGTGAGGGTAGACTCTGTAGGTGATGCTGGGCGGACTGGTGATTCCTGGTCCTGTTCTTTCTCGGCAGGGATCACCGTCTCATCTGAGGAAGATTCTTGATCCGCGGTAGTGATGAGTTGATCGGAGACAGATCGCGTGGGCTCCATGCCAAAGATGCGACGTCGCGTCTGCGAGTCTGGGTTGGGGGCGGGCATTGACGAGTGCCTCCGGACAGTTGCGCTCCTGGGGCGCGATCGCGGGAGTCCAACTGGCGTTGACGTGTTGTCGGCCGGCATGTGATGGTCTGGATAATCTCTAGGCACAACGGTCTTATCGCTGGTGGCCTGAGCAAACGGCGACGAGGGGGCCGGCGCCGGGACGGCGTCGACGACGCGCATGAGCTCGTCGACCGGGTCCGAGGCTAGCCACCCTTGATCTGTGGTGTGGCAGTCGTCCATGGTGGTGACAGGGACATCGGCCACCGAAGGAGGGTGATAAGCCGTGGACATTCTGGTGTATTGAGTGTACGGCCTAATCAAGTGATGGACGTCGGGATCAGGAGTTGGGCGAATCTCTCCCTTGAGTTAAGCTTAACGGGACGCCGAACCGAAGTTAGGGTGTCCCTCGCGGTTGAGTAGCTGGATCGCTCGAGTAGGTATAGCAATTTACGGATATTCGAACTGACACGAGCTGGAATGTGGCCCGTTGTATGGCGAAGGATGTCTCAGATTAGTAGATCTAGGGCTACTGCGAGTCGCACACGAGGTCGCGGTAGCTTAATACACATTACTAGAAGGTCGCATTGGTTGACAGTGAAGATGAGAAGCGCACAAGGGAGTGCCGGGCTCCAGCAGACGACGAAAATAAAGGAGAGTTGAGGAATGTGTGTGCCCTCAAACGCTTGCTCAGAAGTTTGGGAGGGACGGGATCGGGTTGGGGAACTCCTGGGACGTTCAGTTCAGATTCTGGGGAACGGCTTCAGGATGACAGCGGCAGAGACTGCGGTAGCATCGCGGTGAGGGTAGCGGGCATCGAGTTTGTGTGAGTGGCGACTGGCATCTGAAGGATCATTTCCCTAAGAGCAGAATGGGAGGGAGAGAGAGCAGTTGGTGGGATGGAAATTTCATCGTTGGAGCGACTGCTTCAGCTTCTCGATAGGGGGCAAGGGAGAATGGGAGGCAAGGAAAGGAAATGCAAGAAAACGTGGAAAAGCAGCGCCGTGTGATCGGGTGAAGAGTGTGTCAGCCGTTGACGGATTTGTTTCAGATGACCAGGAATACTGGACCAGCGAGCTCCAACTTCTGTGTGTGTGACGGACGGGCACTGGCGTTGGGCTGAGCTGAAAGATGGATGTGGTGGCATGTGGTGGCATTCGGGTGGTGGGCTTGACGTTGTGGTACTCCGTATTGACTGAACCTTGTTGCAGTTGAGATGCGATTGAATCGAGATATGTCAAAGGCAGAATAACTTGGAGCAACTTGCACGTAGAAAACACCCTGGTAATGTTGAAGTACCAAGGTAGACAGGAGACACGGAAATGGAAGCGTAAACGGCGACCCAAACGTTCCATTCCAGTGCCGTGGGACGTTCCCACAACGGACGGGCAAACGTTAGCTGCATGGCGGCATGGCGGCATGGCTTGTCTGCGTGGCACCCACTCCACTGATTTCCAGCGCATGTGCGCCATTCTTGCCTTGCCTTAGGGGATGGATGCAATGCACCATTATGTCAGCACCCGAGCTTGAGAACCTGGCACTTCCGTTGTGGGACGGATCCGAAGAGGCCCGGAAGCCCATGCGGCCCGAAAAATAAGGGTACGTATCTTTGGGAGCTTCCATTCCATTTTTGATGCGACGGGAGCTTCCAGGTTCTCATGAAGCTATCGCAAGCTATCCCAAAGACCAATCTGGGAGACACCGACGACCCGACCACCAGCTAAGCTGCACACGATCCAAACGCAAACCTTCAATGGTCGCATGGTGGCGAACTGCAACAAGTCTGAACCTCCTGCCCGCCCAAGTCTACCCCTCCAATCACCCCCATCCAGAGAAGCTTCGTAGCCACTGGTCGACCGACACGAGTCCTGCGTAGAGGAGGGTGTACAACATACGCGCCAAGCAATTTGATTTTTACACTTCCAGTCACCTTGAAATCTCGGCCGTCCAATCCAACGAGAGCGCAAAGCTCGCAGCCCCCGAACAAACCCGCAAAAGACCGCCACTACCACCGATTATACCTCGAAACGACACCCGTCTCCCAGAATGGCGCGCATACCGACCCGCGAGCTGGCCCGCTACCTCTTCCACGGCCAACTCTCCCGCCAAGGCTGCCTGGCCTCGACCCGACGACCATACACCCGCCTACCGGCCCGTTCCGCTCTAGCCCTGTCATCGGCTCCTCGGCTTGGAGAATCGAGGGCAGCATACGCTACAGCTCAGACCGCGACGGCAGCATCGCAACAAGCGCCGCCGGTGCCGTTAAGAAAGAAGCTCAAGGAAGAGAAGAAGCAGCTCAAAAAGGAGACAAGAGGCCAAAAGCCAAAGGGAAGCAACCAGACCGTCGATGGCTGGGAGTTGACCGTCGGTATTGAGATCCATGCCCAGCTCAACACGGCACGGAAGCTCTTCTCGCCGGCTGCGACGTCTTTCAGTGACGATCCAAATTCCCACGTCGCGCTGTTCGATGTCGCCATGCCGGGCTCTCAGCCGAGATTCCAAAAGGAGACCCTCATACCGGCGTTGCGCGCGGCGTGTGCTCTCAACTGCGACATTCAACCCGTCAGCCGGTTCGACAGGAAACATTACTTTTGGTGGGACCAGCCATCAGGGTATCAGATTACGCAGTACTATGAGCCCTTTGCTCGTAACGGCGAGATCGAGCTCACTGCTAGGGACGGCATCGCCGCGGAGGACGGGGAGAGTGTCACAATCGGCATTCAGCAGATCCAGATGGAGCAGGACACCGCCAAGACGCTGGCGCAGCCCAACGACGTGTCCTGGCTCGATTTCAACCGTGTAGGCATGCCTCTGATTGAGATTATCACGAAGCCGGAGCTCCACCACCCGCGCACCGCCGCCGTGTTCGTCCGCAAGATCCAGATGCTGCTAAATGCCGTAGATGCCTGCGTGTCCGGGATGGAGACGGGTGGTCTGCGTGCTGATGTGAACGTCTCGGTGCGGAGGACAGGTGACCCGAATACCCCGCTCGGTACGCGGACGGAGATCAAGAACCTGAGCACGATCAAGGCCGTTGAAGACGCCATCATCGCCGAGCGCGACCGGCAGATCAAGGCGCTCGATGCGGGCGAGACGATTGCGAGCGAGACGAGAGGTTGGACACTGGGCTCCAAGCATACTCGCCGTCTGCGAGGCAAAGAAGGTGAGGTGGACTACCGCTACATGCCGGACCCCGATCTGGGGCCTCTGGTGATTGGCCAAGATCTCGTGAATTATATCAGGGCCTCCGTCAAGGAGCTACCTGACATTGAGCTGACGGAGCTGATTGAGACCTATGGCCTGACGGCCAAGGACGCCGTCTCCCTCATGTCTCTCGACGATGGCGGCAGGCTCGAGTTCTTCTACAAGGTCGTTGACGAGCTCCGAGATCAACTGGAGAGCGCTGGATTGAAGACCAACCTGCACGACTACGCGTCCCTCGCCGGCAACTGGATCCTCCATGAGCTGGGTCGATTGACGACGGACAAGGCCGACCCGGAAGCTGCTCAGCGAACGCTGGCGATTTCTCCAGATGGCTCCTGCGAAGCGGTGCCGCATTACGCACTGGCCGGGATCCTCTTCCACCTCCAGAAGCGGGATATCACAGGTAAGGTCGCCAAGGAGCTCCTGGTGGCTCAGTATCTCGGTAACCTAAACGAATTCGACTCCGTCACGGACGCCATCGAGACACACGCCTTGTGGTTCAAGGAGATGACGGAACCAGAGTATAGGCAGCTGGCAGAGGAGGTCATTGAAGGGGAGGATAAGGTCTTGGGGGAGTTCATGGACAAGAAGAAGAAGTACCCCCAGGGCAAGCTTATGTACCTCGTCGGCAAGATGATGCGCATCGGCGAGACGGAGCGGATCGATCCCTCGGGCGCCGAAAAGGTCATGCGTCAGCTCATCAAGGAGCGGACAGACGCGCGTCAGGACTGATTTTTTTCTCTTTTTTGAGTCTCTTTTCTGCCTCCTGGAGGGGAATATTTGACCCCATGTACGTGCATCTATGCACGCTATATTGTACAATGTATCATAACATCATAAGAACTCGATAATACGAGTGTAAGATAGCAGGGTATTTCCAGCCTCCCCTTTCCCCAGTCTCAAGAAACCTTCACTTTGGACTGCTCGTTGACGCCGCCGGCCGAACGTCTAATTTACTCGGCATGAACCCAAAATTGATATTCTCCCGCTCCCTCACGAACCGCTCGATACGTTCCTCCCGGCCTTTGCCAGCCACAGCCTGGCCTTGCCGTCTCAGCGCCTCGCTAATATTGGCCTCGTGAGCGTTCTTCTTCTCAAGGAACGTCGCTGTGCTATTATCCATCCTCGTCGTCTGCGCCACCGTGCCCACCGCCAACGCGGCCAGAACTAGCGCAGCGAAACTGGCGTTGGACATGTACATTGGCTTCTGCCTCTCCGTTCCGCCGTTAGCCTGCCGTTCGTGCCACCGCTCCCAGTCTTCCCAGGTCGCGTTCATGGCGGGGGAGTCCCCGCCGTTGCGTGCGTAGCCGTGGCGCCATGCTTTATCGGCGCGGCGGTAGACTTCGTTGATGTCTTCCGGTGCTGCGCCTGTCTTGCCGGGGATGTGCCAGCCGAAGCCCCAGGCGTCGTAGGCGCGGCGTTTGTCTGGGGAGCTGAGGATTTCGTTTGCGAGGACGATGAGGCGGTAGCGTTCTAGGCGGGTTGCTGCGGGGAGGGAGTCGAGGGCTGTTGCGTGGTGTTTGTCTGGGTGGTATTGTTTCACGAGCTCGGCGAAGCGGGCTTTTGTGTAGGGTGCTGCTTTGTCTATTGCGAAGATGTCGTAGGGGGTGGGGTTCTTGCAGGTTGGCCATGGGCTGCCGGTGCCGCCTTTCCCTTTTGATGATCCATTGTGAGGAGGTTTGTGGTGTACTGTTGCGTAGGATCGTGAGGTTGAGGATCGTGTGCTGTGTGAGGCGGGGTGTTCGGAGGATGGTCGTCGTGAGGGTGGTGACGTTATGGATGTGTGGTGTGCGGGGATGGTGAAGAGGTTCAGGACGTTGTTGCTGGAGCAGATGGCGAATGCCGAGGACGTCTTGAGGACCATGGCTGCGGTTGAATAGGTAGATTAACTGGGAAAGGTATCTCAGGGAGGTTGAGGGGCGGGATCGAGGACGAGCATTTTTTGAGGCGTCGTCGTCGGGGTTTGTATAGAGAGAGCTCGGCGATGTAAGTGGCCTGGGGAGTGAGAGAGTTTGGACGCCGGTGGTTCGACTTGCACCAGCGGCTCGTCCAATTGACGCATTCGTGCTCAGTGCTCAGTGCTCAGACTC